TATATATTAATATAATAATTAATATATGACAGGGGATTCTCTTCTTTTAAATATAAATTACTAATATAATATTCATTTATTATATAAAATGATTTGCGCCAAAAGTCGTGTATGTTACTTATAACGACTTTTTAAAAGATGAAGTTGTGAGTAAATTTTTCTTATCTCTTTTTTGTTATTTGATATTACCAATCGCATTCTCTGTAATAGAAAAAGTAGAAAATGGAATATCTTAGATAATATTTGCTTTGTAGTTATTAATCGTTAGTGTAACAAAGTTTGTGAATATAATCTTTTTCATTAAAAACAGATGGGGTATTAACCAAGATAGTCAGGATTAGTTGTAACGCGTGACAGTCAATTTTAATCTCTTTAAATCAGCAATCTCTTTTATAAATTTGTAAATTTAATCTCTAGAGATTTTTTGTTAGAAATTTTGATGTTATTTTCGGAGTATTAAATCTGTAATATCTTATGTCTAGCAATCTAAATGTACATGGAAAGAACAATTTTGTTGAAGTATCTACAAATTTAGATATAGACTTAAAAATAATTTTGTTGGACCGTCTTAATAATTCGGTAGGAATCTCAAGCATAATGAGTATAATACTGCAAAAAATTTTGACATTCTAAAGTAGCCTACATAATTATTTTTTGATAGTCTAACAAAATTATTTTTAGATCTGTATCTAGTGAAATTTTTAAATACTTCTGTAAAACTGTCTTTTCCAAGTAATTATATGTTAATCTGAATTTCATTTAATATATTTTTAGCATCGTTGAGAATTATTTACGATACGGCCATCATTAAATTTTTTAAATAAATCTTACAGCTAAAGGATCCCTCGAAAATGTTTCCAATGGATCAACACTTCCTCGCTTATAGCCAACAGCCGGTATACGTAATATCAGGATCGGAGCAAAATGAGAAAGGAAAGGAGAATGCGGTACATCAGAAGCTAGAGAATATTCATACATCGAACACTATTGTCGGAGCATAAAACGATTCGCTTTTTACATAGATAATTTCCATCTTGTACGATAGTGATTCTTAAACTTCTTTTTCCAGGTGTACTCAAATTATAACAATCGATAATTCTTTAATTCTTATACTTTTTATGTAACATTTTTTTTATACATGAGACGTATAATATAATCGGTAAGGGGATCATTTCTCGCAAAAACATATATTAAAAGTATAGAAAACAATTTTCTCAGTATAAATGTTTAGTTTAAGAAAATGTTTGCTAAGAATATTAAATAATTAAGAACATGTCTTTACAACTTTGAATATGTTTAATAATCTTATATACGAACTGAATTTGTTTTTAACTATTAACGGTTAATAAATAAAAGCTTACAAATCATAAGTGCAACCTGGAAACGAAATAACGTCATACATGGTATAGTATACATCATAGGCAAAACAATGTCATTTATATCTGTCAATATTTCGTCCTAATTTATTGTCCACGAGATTCATCACTACGATCCAGACTTGACGATCAAACAAATGCATGCGACATTCTTGGATCTGTGTTCATACATATGATTATATAGATTCTAAAGACAACTATTAAAGACTTGTTCGACATTATTCACGTAATGTAAATTTATAAATCGTTTTTAAATTTATTAAGCAATTTTGACAAAATATAGACGATTCGGAAATGTAATCTACTTTTTTAAAGTTTAAGACATAAAATAACGATTCTTTTGTGAAATCGGAAACATTTATTCGCGAATAATGAATTTATCGACGGACATTTGTTTGATCGTCGAGGATCTAGGTATGAGAAATGATTTTATTATATTTTCATTGATATTTGTCTTCATTATCTCTTTGATGTGTGAATCATTAACACAAGATTGTCCTGGGTCTGAAAATCCCGAGGTCATTATGTTAATACGTCCACACAATTGTAAATAGATTATTATATTTATAGATTTATATTGTATTCAATTACATATATTTATATAGGCTAATAAAGACTGAAATTGTTTTTCAATAATAAGATTATCCCAACTATAAAATCCGACAGTTTTAGCATATAAAAACTAGTCAAAATTAACATAAATTTGAATCTGAACGGTTTCGGAGTTATGGGATATTGAAGATATTTTTATAAACAAACGTGAATGGTGTGAAGTAAATATGTAATCCTTATAATTAATTAATACATATGTCTGGGTCGTTCGTGTCCTGCACATTTCTTTTTTTTGAAATACTAAGAGTACCTAGTCAAATACCGGTCTTCTTTCTATTTCTAAACAAAAGTTTGGCATCTAGAGAACAAATTTTATGCGTTACCGACCTCGATTCGTGCGTATTCTTTAACTGGCGTAACTCTGAAATTCATTTCTGGGTCACAAATGATCCAACATGTGTATAGAGTGCACATTTTTTTAACTAAAAAAATTTTTTTTTCTTTATTTTCCACTAATTCTCGATTATATTGCGAAAATATTTCGCAAATTATTAAAAAAAAAGAATTTAACTCTAAAATAACATATCATATAATATTGTATTGTGAGTCTTCCTCTCATAGGACACGAATGACCAAAGATATGTATTAAATGTTAAAAATGATTAAATAAATTATATATAATTAAAATTTGCTTTTTACTAAATTAATAAATAATCAACTTATTAACGTTAGTTGATTATTTAAAATCAAGCAAACGATGCTCACTTCATAGACGTTCGAACTTTCGACGAACTACGAATGTCCGACATAACTGTCTGAAAATCACAAATGTCCGAAAAAATATTAACGTGCATACTGATTTACGCTTCGCGACGACCACTCATTGTTGAACCCCGCACTCCCGCCGCGTCCGAATCAGATACGTTTTTACGAAATTCGAAAGACGACAACAACTTCACACCGATGCTCGAAGCTTTGACCTTCGACACGCCAACGGCAACGGTCCGACGCAACAGAGCGGATTCAAATTGCGTTTGACCATCGCACGTACAAATTTATGCTACGACAATTACTCACTGTCAGATTCAACACTCCCGATGCGCTAAATACCTGTTCAAGACGCTCACGAAAGATCGCAGCAACTTCACTCCGATTCTAGAAGTTTCGACGCACCAACGGCCAACGGCTCGATCAGAGCAACGCCACACGGCTTGCAGGATTGATATCGTGAAATACGGATCGTTTGACGGTCTCACGTACTAATTTGTGCTCCATAATAATCTTTCGATACTCCTAATAATACACTACAGGAAGTCAGGAAATAGTAAGATCACGGCACTTCACTCCCGATGCTTCGAGCGAGCCAATGGTTCGCGATTAACAAGAATAGATTCGCACGCGTTGTTCCCGACAATCCTATAACATTCATTCCTCACACGAGGCTGGTTCTGAACGGAAAAAGTACACGCGAAACACGGAACGACATGAAACGCGTCAAATACGCATCGAGACGTGCCAAGCAGTGCCGGGTCGCTCAGCTAACTGACGAGGTGTGACGCGTACTAGACCTTGTGACGTCACGTGCGCGTCGTACGATAATCATGACCGTTAACATTTTCAAAAAATACGGCCGCGGTGTTTTCGCATCGTTAAGCCATACATTAATTAACAGTTACTATATTTCTATCGTCTTATTCTACGGTTTATCTTACATATCAGGTAGTGGATATGAACGACGTGTCGTTTCATTTATACTGTATATTCGAATCTGCTCAAGCACAAGTTATGATATTAAAATGATTTCAAAATAATTCCAAAATGATTATTAAAAGACATTTTTCAATTATTTCCGATTTGTTTTAATCCTTATAGTACACATGCTAGTTTTTGGCATCCTTAATACACATGTTCAAGTATATATAAATTATTAAATAATTTTTACATATATTTTGACATCTTTAGAAAGTATTTATGCAGTTATATATTTATAATAAATTGTAGATAGTTAACGAAATGAGAAAAAGGCATTGTTTCATATAAAAATGTAAAACTCTGAAACTAAAATGTTTAACTATATTTATTTACAACAATTTATCAACAATTTATATGTAAAAATTGTTTAATAATTTATACATACTTGTAAAAGTGATGAAAATTAAGCCAGAACACGAATGACCGAACGTGTGTATTAAGGGTGCCAAAAACTAACGTGTGTTATAAGGATTAAAACGAATCGGAAATAATTGAAAAATGTCTTTTAATAATCATAAACATTTTGGAGTTATTTTAAAATCATTTTGATATCATAATTTGTTCTGTTTGAACAGATTCGAATATACAGTATAAATGAACGATCGACACGTCGTTCACATCCATCTACCTGATATGTAAGATAAATCATAGAATAAGACGATAGAAATATAGTAACAGTTAATTAATGTATGGCTTAACGATGCGAAAACACAGCGGCCGTATTTTTTGAAAATGTTAACGGTCATGATTATCGTACGACGCACGTGACGTCACAAGGTCTAGTACGCGTCACACCTCGTCAGTTAGCTGGGCGACTCGGCACTGCCTGGCACTGCCTGGCACGCGCCAGTACATACTTGACGCGTTTCGTGTCGTTCCGTGTTTCGTGTGTACTTTTTCCGTTCAGAACGAGCCTCGTGTGAGGAATGAGTTACAGGATTGTCGGAAACATAAAATCTAGTGATAAATGATTGTCGTGGAACGACGCGTGCGAATCTATTCTTGTAAATCGCGAACCGTTGGCTCGCTCGAAGCATCGGGAGTGAAGTGCCGCGATCTTACTGTTTCCTCACTTCCTGTAGTGTATTATTAGGAGTATCGAAGGGATTATTATGAAGCATAAATTAGTACGTGAGACCGCCAAACGATCTATATTTCACGATATCAATCCTGCAAACAGTGTGGCGTTGCTCGAGCCGTTGGTGCGTCGAAACTTCTAGAACCGGAGTGAAGTTGCTGCGATGTTTCGCGAGCGTCTTGAACAGGTATTTAGTGCATCGGGAGTGTTGAATCTGGCAGTAATTGTCGCAGCATAAATTTGTACGTGCGATGATCACACGCAATTTGAATCCGCCCTGTTGCGTCGCGTCCGACCGTTGCAGTTGACGCGTCGAAGGTCAAAGCTTCGAGCATCGGTGTGAAGTTGTTGTGTTCCGAATTTCGTAAAAACGTATCTCGGATTCGGACGCGTCGGGAGTGCCGGGTTCAACAATGAGTGGTCGTCGCGGAGCGTAAATCGGTATGCACGTTAATATTTTTTCGGACATTGCGATTTTCGGACAGTTATGTCGGATATTCGCGGTTCGTTGAAAGTTCGAACGTCTATGAAGTGAGCGTCGTTTGCTCGATTTTAAATAATCAACTGACATTAATAAGTTGATTATTTATTAATTTAGTAAAAAGCAAATTTTAATTATTACATATAATTTATTTAATCATTTTTAACATTTAATACATACCTTTGATCATTCGTGTCCTGCCTATTTTTGTTTTTTGAAATATTAAGAGCAACTTGTTAAATATCGGTCTCTTTTCTATTCCTAAAAAAAGTTTGGCATCTAAAAAATAAGTTTTGTGCGTTACTGGCTTCAATTCTGTGTATCCTTTAACTGGAACTCCGAAGTTTACCTCTGGTCACAAATGACCCTTAGATGTGTACAGAGTGTACATTTTCTGTAACTAAAAGAATTTTTTTTCTTTAAAACTAACTAATTCTCGATTGTATTGCGAGAATATTTCGCGAATTATTGAAAAAAAAATTTAATCCTAAAATATATCATCTCTTAATAAACGCGATTTTTGGGACTCTTGTTCTAAATGTTGTCTTATATTATATATCATACTGTCTGTAATGTTATAAAGAATATTTTCCTAATAAATTACAAGTTTTTTTTAACACAATAGCAATAATAAAATGCATTGTTTTAAAATGTAAATGCAATATATCTTCAATTTATATTTGTCTACATTAAAAAAACATTATTTTTAGATTACTTAATAATTAAACTTTTTGGACAGCTGACATTTGAACGATTTTTTTTCTTATAGTTTGAAATGTCAATTTTAAGATACTGAATCACTTTTCTTTTAAACATTTTTGTTTCAGAGTTTTATATTTTTATATGAAACAGTGCATTTTTCTGATTTTCTTGACTATATTTAGATACAACAATTTATCTACGTTTTGTTATAAATATATAACTGCACAAATATTTTCTAAAGATGTCAAAATATATGTAACAATTGTTTGATAATTTATATATACTTGTAAAAATGATGATTAAGCCAAGACACGAATGACCAAACGTGTGTATTAAATGTGTGTAAAAAAAAACTAATGTGTGTAAGAGTTAATTATTATATATAATTTATTTAATTATTTTTTATTTATTATATTCTGTTTAACACAAATATTCTGTTTACAAATAAATTGATATAAGGTATCCTAACTCTTATTGAAGATACTCTATACCAGACAGCTACATCAACGGACAAATTGTTTTACCTGGCACATTGTAAATAGTCGTTGCGAATTGATGATCTGCAAGGATTCGCCTGCAGATTAAAAAATTAATGTGATATTCACGCAGGTAGTTAACGCGGGACACGGTGTTGTAAAACACCGCATTTGTAGCACGCATGTCTTGTTTTCTGGACATTCAACGTTGGAACAGGGATCCCAGCACGTTTGACAGCCGGTGACCTCATCGATCTATCGAAAACGTTGAATTTTTCAATAACAGTATTTTCATTTAAAATTTTTACGTAAAACACATAACAAATCAAGATTATTTTATGTAAAAATGATTTCATTTGATCCAATATCTGTTATTAGGTTAGAAGCATTAGTAATTCGTTATCTTACTCTCACATTTTATTCTCTTTTTATCCTATTTATGATTACATATTTTCAATAATAATAATTATAAATTTATATTAAATATGCTAAGTCTAAAGTAGATGTATAGTTTTACTTATAGTAGATATATACATACTTTGTGCCTGAATCCCCAGCGGCATGCCATTATGCCGGGACACATGATAGGTGGGTACGTTTCGTTTGTAGCATTGCTAGTCATGTCAATCTCATTGATGGTCGGCTCTGCCATCATAAATTAATTCGTAAATAATGGAACTTTGTTTTCGTATAAACATAACAAAAGCGAGACATTAAAATAATGAAAGAATAATTAAAAGACGATTAACATATTTATTTTATGATTATACAAATTTTTATTATATTAATATATTTACTTTATGATTATACAAATATATTGAAAAATTGAATAAAATGAAAATTTGGATTTCATTTCAAGCTGTCTTAAGTGATATCTGATAATTATTCCGTATTTTTATGCTTTCGGTATATATTATAGGAAACATTTTTTGAATCTCTTTTAATTAAAAAGTGCCTTTTATATTTATTAGTTAAACTGACATAATCAATTCAAACCAAAAGACAAAATCACAATATAAAGTTTTGATGATTTACGAGTAGATACAATACTTAAGGCGCCTCCAGACGGTATGATCAACGTATAGGTCAACTTCGCAAATATTTGCTAAATATTGATCAATATATTCAGTATGAATAATTACGTACGTCATGTATGTATATGATATTTGCTCATGTTGAGATATATTTGTCAAATCATCTGAGAGAGAGAGAGAGAGAGAGAGAGAGAGAGAGAGAGAGAGACAGGGAGAGCACCTTTATAGAAGAAAAGAGAGAGAGCGCCTTTATAGAAGAAAATAACATAATGAAGAATAAATTGTTGCGTCAGTTGTTATGATGAAAGCTTGTCATTAAAATAAAATAACCGGCAAGAGAGAGGCTATGTCTTATTTAATGATAAAATTTTTTAAAAAATTATGAAAGTTTTTTCACGTTCTTATTTCTTTTTGTATTATATGGAGAAAGGAAAACACAATCATTGCAGGCTTTTTTGTGCAAATTAAAGAATAACATATATGATTTATGTTTAAAATTCTTTTTTCTTGTATCAATTATAATACAATATATTTATAAAAGATAGGAACGCTAAGTTGAAGATGCGTTACCGAATAAATTTTTAATGCAGCTTTTCTATTTATTTCCTTATTCTCTTGCAATATAAATTGACACAAGAAAAAAAAAGATTTTTAAACGTAAATCAAGTATGTTTTTCTATTTGTATAAAAAATAAAATTTAGTATATATTGCTTTCTCAGTTATATAAAAAACCGAGTTTTTGAACACTTTCTGACAAAAGCGTAGGATAATGACAATGATAATAAAAGTAGCTTCAGTCGACGGATATCGACTTCTCGGTATTCTACGTATTAGCTTAATTGTCGTTTTATCATACTTATTATATGTATCTAACATGTGATAGCGTTTCAAAACGTAAGCGAATACTTCCGAGTAACTCAAAGAAGAAAACATAGAATATATAACGAATGAAAGTTTATTAAAACAAAAGAATATATGAAAGTTAATAATTTAATTCTGATAAAGTAATGATTGCTTTTTATAAGGTTTTGTCATTAATATATTGGAAAGAATTAGTGTAAATAGAAAGACAAGTTGTTACTTTAATTTGAACACAGACATTTGTTAGCAAAGAGTAAACTTTTCACTTTAATTTTCAGAGCAAAAGCGGTCCCGTGCAGGTATTTAAAAGTTCTATTTAAATCTGGTGTTGCTCAAATCAAAATGCACAATAAAAATGACTTCATTTTTAAAAATTATTTTATAGCGATTGTTTTATCTGCTTGTTAAGCTTTATGTTTGCGTGCACATTGGATGGGCATTCAATTAACAAAGAGTAGATAATGAAACGCTGAATAAAATAGAAGAATAGAGAACGTACTGGCGGTGATCATTGTTGCTAGCGAGAGGATGAACAGCAGACAAGCCAGCGACAGCCACACAACGGCGCAGGTAAATCCACTGTTGTAGAAATCACGGCGCATCTTCATTGCATTAAATAATTTTTGAATCGATCACACACTATTACCTGGAATAGTGATAATTACGTCATGATTAAAACACAAACTCCAGCGAGAATAGAATGAAACTCTATCCTTTGTTTTAATGGGACGAATTCTTCTTCTCAATAGTGAAATTAGCGATACGTTATATCACATTCTCTGAAAAGTCCTTGAATTTAGGACGTAGTTAGGAGACATGAATAATGCAACGAAAGTGAGATATGGCGTCGACGGAGACGTGACTCTAGGCATTGTAATAAACGCGGTTGACAAACACAGAAGATTACTTTATTCCGGAAATTCCGATGTTCTTGAGATTCTCAATCTTTTATTTTATGACATGAAATGTGATGGAGAGAATACGAAATTTATTTCTATTCGAAGTGGCTTATAGCTGCATATGAGTTACTATTCGATTTTTTCCGCATTTGTGTACATAAATACATACTGCTAAAAACGCGTGTTATTAATTAAAAACTAATAGCATTATTTTAATCCTAAGGATATAAGTAAAAGAAAAAGACTATCATAGTCAGGTAACTAATAATTATTAGTCCTTCTGCAGCATGAAACCATTCTACCATGTTTAAGTATTTGAGTAAATGATATAACAAAATTATGTGCAGAGTGATATGAGATAAATTTGAAACATTATTCAAATGAATGTAATATGTTGAATGGAATTAATTATTGTTGAATGAAGGCACTTGAAAAGGCTGATAAATGATAACGAGCTTCATTATGCTCATAAAGTATAATTCACATTTTTATTATGGCATTGGTTATCAAGAGATTTAATTCCAGCACCATTTTTACTCAGTGATATTTTTCCCAATGTTTCATATAAGTAATTGCGTGCGTCTGCTCAATCTCCGACGGTAGTGAGTCATTCTTTATCTTTAGCATTTCCTAATCTTAACCTTTAACTTTTTATTATCGTGGCGCATCGTATTCCGAAGGTGTCATCGTCTTATACTTTCGTGAGAAAAAAGAAAAGAGAAATAGGAAGTTTACGAGAAGAAGAGCAGATGAAAGATTTTCTCCAAGAGAAGAATCTCGACATACGTTGCTGGAATTACTCTAATGAAAAAAAAAATCAAAATCACGCTAAATGCATGTCGAAATTAAAAAGTGCGATGCGCCAGTACGAAAAAAAAGAACAGATATTGTGCGTCGAATTGTCTTACATTTTTCGTGAATTGTAAGATTCGCGAAAGTTATTATTTTCAAAAGAAGAATTTATTTGCCAATTGTTATACAATAGTTTTTTTTTACTAAACTACTTACTTCACTTTCTTAAGTCTGTTAAACGTACACTATGTTTTGCTTGTGAGGAACTCGAGAAACTGTTGCTGCAGTCAGAAGGTTTCCTTTTTATAGAATTAGAATTTCCCTCTCTTTTTTTATTTTAAAGTTTTTTTTATTTTCTTGTCTTGTCTTAAACGATACATGTGGAGAATGAGTCATGAAACAATACGCGTAGTATCGTTATGTAAATGATTACTACGATGCGTTTTAATGGCAATAATGTTAGTAGATAATTTGATAATCTTTATCGATATAGTAAACGTATATTTAGATGTCTAATGATACATAAAGTAAATAAGGATTTTGGCGTGTTGCAAAGAAATAGTCGTGGTGAAGCGATGATCTGCAAGGATTCGCGTACAAACTGTTGATGAAGACGTGACGTTTACACATGTGATACTACGGAGACATGGCGGTATAGAGCAAGAATTCATGGCTCGCAGATCTGGCTTTCCGGACAGAAACAGAGAATCCAGCACGAGCATATGGGACAGTAGGTGACCGGATCAATCTAACGTAAAATATTAGATCTTTTAATAAGAATAATTGAAAAGATTTTCACGTGACATAAATTAAGATTATTGCATGTAAAGAAAAAATTTATATTTAGTTTAAATTTCTATTTAAAAATGCATGACTTTTACATTTCTATACAAGGTTCCCATTTTAATCAATCCAGTTAATTTTTTCCAATATTACTAATAAAAAATTTCAGATGAAAGTGAAACGGTTTCAAGAGAGATGTATTTTGCTCACATTATTTTCTCTAGGTGGAGGTGTCAAGAAGGTCATCTTTACTGTAATTTACATACATAATCAATATTAAAGAACTAATTTGATGCAGTCATATTTATAATGTGATGCGGTAACAAATATAATCTACATGTACGAATAATATGTCATCTTACCCGTAGTCATATAATTATATCATTTCTTACAGACATCATAAAATTACATATAAGTATGTCTAAAATGTAAATTTCTTATTATTGTATATTATCCATTTTATGTAGACAAATTGAGATCAAATTACAAAAATCTTTATTATGATCAAAACCCTTTAATGAGTTTAGTATCGACTCCTTATCTGTTATTAGTTTAATAAAATTAGCAATTCATTTTATCCATTTTACTTATCCCTCTCTTGTCTTACTCGTTTTTTGACCATTTTCAACAGGTACTGATAGTTTTAAGTTTACATTAAATATGAAGTACATGTATAGTTGTATATAGTGGAGATATACCTCGAATCTCTAGGGGTAGGGTAAGACACATATGTTGATGAACATATTACGTTGATGGCATCCTTACTTTGGTGCCAATCTCATTGATGGTCGGCTCTGCAAATTATTCATTTTATAAATCCAAATAGAATTCGGTTTTTTTTATATTAACAGAGTTAACGCGAGACATTAAAATAATAAAGAATAATTAGAAGGTGATTAAAGATATAACGACTTTGTGCGTAATTTTAAATGTACAAATATATTATTTCATGATTATATCAGAAAATTAAAATATCTTTTATTTACTAGTTGTTAGGCTGACAAAATCAATCCGAATCAAGAAATAAGATTATGATGTAAAGCTTTCATGATGTCGACACAAAATAATAGAATAAAGAATAATGCATCAGAGAGAATTCTTACAACATGAAATTTTATTATTAAAATGAAATAACTAAGAGAAGCCATGTTTTGTTCTTTACTGATTTTGATGAAATTTGCAGGAATATTAAAAGAAGATAGAGAAATTTGGAACAGTCGCGAGTAAAAAACTAATAGAAACTACAGTTTTCTACAAAATAGTTTTGTACTTATTAGAGTGATTTTAAAGAGAAGATAGTCTTTAATTTAATTGCAAAGAAAAGATAGTTTCTAATTTGAACGCGAGCACTTATAAAGTAGAAGTGAATATTTTAATCTTTTTTTAAACCATTTTTTAGAACGATTACGTTGTGCGGTCTAATATTCACAAGTTCTAATTAAATCCAGTGTTGCGTAAATCAAAATGTACAATGAAAATGTCTATTCACTTTCGAAATATATTTTATCGCAATTTTATTTTCTTTGCTTCTTTGTATTTGCATGCACATTGAACGGAAAGGAGTCAAGTAAAGAGTAAATAATAAAACACTGAAAAAAATAGAAAAATAGAGGACGTACTAGCAGTGATCGTTGTTAATAGCGAAAAGATCAACAGTAGACAGGTCAACGACATCCATATAACGAGGCAGGAAAGTCCATTGTTGGAGGAATCACGGCGTATCTTCATCGAATTAAGTAATTTTTTAGCTAATTGCTATTATCTATCTGGAATAGTAACAATTGCTTCTTAATTAAAATATATTTTCAACGACAACAGAACGAATCTTCCTTCACTTTAACGAGATTCATTTTTCTTCTCGATGAAATTAAAATGTTACGTTTTCTAAAGAGTCGAATTTAAGATATAGCCAGGATCAGACATGAATATGTAATACAATGAAAGAAATATGGCGTCGCTAAAGATAAAATTTCTATGCATTACGATAACGCGATTAACTAACGCAAAAGGCTATTTTATTCCAGAAATTCTTCTTGAGATTCTCAACCTTTCATTTTATAATGTGAAATGAGATGTAGAAAATACGAAACTTTATTTCTATTAAAAGCGGCTTACGGCCGTTTACAGCTTTTTGATATTTTTCAGCAGCTATGTAGACGAACACATACTGCGAAAGTTATTATTTCAGAAATAGAAATTTATTTGCCCATTGTCATGTAATGATTTTTATAACTGTACTAGATACTTACTTCACTTTCTATAATTCTTTGCTCGTGAAGAACTCGGAAAACTACTGTTGCAGTCCGTGGGTTTCCTTTTTATAGAGTTAGAGTTTCATAAAAAAGCCTAAGTTTTTTTTATTTTTAGGTTTTCTTATCTCATTTAAAGTCAAAAACGCTCGAAGTCGCAGAACATTAAGTAATATCATTATACATAAACGCTACTTTTTTAGTAATAGTGTTGATAAATGATTACTTAATAACTATCTTTATCGTTATAACGTATTTAAACGTATAATTAGATGTTTATTTTATGTCTAATAACATAAAATAAGGACTTGAGGGAGTGTTTTTCGAACATAACAAGAAGTAAAATAACATAATGGCTCATGATGTAAGAAGTTTTCTTTCATCATGATAACAACTTTGATAGATAGCGCTTCCCGAACGTAGCAGTCTTAAATATAATATAAAATCTGTAATATAAGAATTATATATAAATTATTGTAATATAGTTTCGAAATTTATATTTTGTAAGTATTATTACGTCGTATTTTTTATCATTATAGTTTGTATTTTCTATAGCAATATAGCACCTTTCAGACGAATACATTGATTTATCTGATTGATTTACACATTTTAATATGTCATTTACTGTTTTTATTTATTATTATTTTCAGATTTTAATATGTCATTCAGCATTATTAAGATTGTCTTAAGATGCGTAAGAACATCGATTTGTTAAAAAAATTAATTGCTAATCAATTTAACTGGTGATATTATTGCGGTAGTTCAGTAGAGTTTGCATTTCAAGACTGAAGAATTATTTCGGCGCACAGTTAATTAAGGGGATTACAAACGTAGTAAATGAATTTACAGAATTATACAAGCACTTAAGATCCAGCTAGACCGTTAAAGGCATTTATTTCATTTACAGCAGCAGCAGTTTATTTACAGATTAGATTGTTGATCTATTCTTCTTACACATGGCTGTATCTCGGGGACATGGCGAAACAATTCACGGCGACTAATTCACATGTCTCACCTTCGCGACATGCGACTTAATTTTTGCACGTGCATGTTCGACAGCCCGCCTGATTGACCTATCGAGAACGTTGATTCTTTCAGTAACAGCATTTGAAAAGATTTTCATGAGATCGCACACATCACAAACCTCTTCTATATGAAGAAAAAATCCATATCAAAATTTTATTTAAAAATACACTAACTCTTTTTTGTATCTTTATATATCTTCGAATATTTATAGCCATATAAATAAATTAAACTAGAATTAAAATGTCATAAATCGATATTATACAGTGACTTATGAAATTGAATTGTTTAAAAAATTGAAAAGAAAATGTTTTATCATTTTCGAAATATAGATAATAGGAATAACAAAACATAAAATATAAAAAGAAAAAGAGCATAAAAAGGTATGAAAAAAGCAAAAGAATTAAAGAGAGATAAAACGGTGACCTTAAAGTTTATCGATTTTTTTTTTATTTTTGTGATGACATAATAATCTATTTTTATATTTGGTCAAGTTTTGCTTATTATCTACAAAAATTTTAAAAATTATAAAATAAAAAGAGTTTTTTTAAAATTACATTTTTTTGAAAACATATCTGTTTTATCATCATTCTGTCATGATATAAATTTATACATTGAAAGTAAAGCTAAATAAAAGTTAAAAATGCTAAATATAAATTGGATGTATAGTTATAATAAAATTAATAAAGTGGATGTACAGTTATAATGGATACATACTTCAAATCCCAAGGGGCAATTTGTCCTACACTTCAAAAGCGGACATCTACGTTCCATGAACGCATTGTTGTTAGACACCGTGAGGTCGGGTATCTCGTGCTCAAGCGGTGCTGCAAATCATATGATTTGTAAATCCCAATAGTTTTTTGTATGAAATAATGATTTAATACGAGAAATTAGAATAATAAAGAAATCATTAAAAGGGTAAAACGGCGCGATAATTAGTGCGCAATGGATTTTTAGTATAAAATATACGTATTTATGCTATGATTACATCTATCGGAGAATCAAACAAGAACGGGTATGTATAATAATTACAGAAATTGTCATTGCACATAATGAGAAAAGTATTGTATTTACTTAAATACGTCATAAAATCATAATTTCAACTTTCTAAAAGTTAATCAGTGTATTATTACTGACTTCAGTGCTACACTTATGTAATCATCAGCTGTATATTAACTGTTTTTCAAGTAATAATACGCTGATTCACTTTTAGAGGTTAC